TATATCTTGGTATGGCATGGCACTGGATTTCTAACCACAAGGTCAGCAGTTCAAAGCCACCAGTCACTCCTAGGAAACCCTTTATAGGGTCTGTATGAGTTGGAACTGACTCAATGGCACTTTATAACATATATTATATAAATACAGACACCTTTAAATTCATGTTGAACTTCTTCTCAAATCTTTAACTTTTTAGCTTTGAGTACTTTCCATTTTTGTCTGGCATATTTCCACTGCCTTCTAACCAATCTTGAGGTTTTTGACCTTTGGCCTTTGTTCAAGTCCTTCCCCTGCACTATTGCTTGGAAAGCAAATCTGATTGAGTTTCTGTTCCTGCTTGAATGACTCCTTATGGCATACAGAATAAGGTTTTGTAAGACCTTATATGGTCTTGTCCTCACCTGTCCAGCTTCCTTTACAATATCTGCTGACTTACTTTCTGTTTTAATATTACTGTGAACTGTTCACAGTTCCCTTTCAAGGCAAACTGCATTGATCTTTATACATTGCTCCTGTTGAACCTTAAGGATAATCTCAGGTAACATCTCTCCAAGAAGTTTTCCACAGCTCATTCAGCCAGGATTCACTGAGAGCTCTCAGGACTCCTAGATCCATACCTCATCCAGTTATTTGCTACACTGTGATGAGTCCTGGTATGGCTCTGTAGGATTAGCACTGGACTGATAACTACAAGGTTAATAGTTCAAACTCACCAGTCACTCCCTGAAAATCCTATATTGACTCGATGTACTTAACAAAGACAACAGTAATAACAAAACGTACCTACCTCCTCCCTCAACTAGGTGGGAGTGTCTTGACATCAGAGCCTTTCTGTTCATGATTAAGTATTGGATTGCTAACTGAAAGATTAGTGGTTCAAACCCTTAGCTGCTCTGTGGGAGAAAGATGGCAATCTGCTACCATAAAGATTTTATGAGTTTGGAAACCTTATGGGACAGTTCTACTCTGTCCTATATGGTTAATGTGAGGTGAATAGACTTTCTGGTAATGGGTTTTTTGGTTTGGAATATTACATTTTGAGAACTAAGTGACTCTGGAATCTCTGGGTAGCACAAGTGGTTAATGCCTTTGGATGCTTAACTGAAGGGCTGGAGACTTGAGCCGATGCAGTGATACCTCAGAAGAAAGGCTTGGCAATCTAACTCTGAAAAGTCTGTCATTGAAAGCCCTCAGAAGTACAGTTCTACACACATGGGATTGCTAGAAGCCAGAGTCAGTTCCACACTTAACCGTTTCTTTAAGTGATTCTAGTTTATAGTTTTTCCATCAACAATATTTTACAAGAAAAGGAATGGAATTTTTAAGCTCATCATGAAAACAGTGGGAACCAAAGAATAGGAAATCCTTTTTATACAATGTACCAAGTTTTAGAAGAAACAACCTAAAGTTTTGCAATCCCCAAACTAATATTCAAACTCTCAATCTGTGTTTGATTAAAAAAGTTTAATGAGCTGTAAAATAAATACACTTCCATTAAATATTAAATAAATTATTTACAATTTGAAAAAATACTTTTTATCTCCAAACATCTTTATGTACAGAAACAAGATTTAGCATAAAACATGGCAACTGAAAGCTTTAAACCATCAGAACAAAATAGTTCCATTTTCTCATGATCCATTCACAAGAGGAAACGACCCTGTTCTTGGTTGTGACGTGGCTGTGAGTCCGAGATGATCTTCTGTTAGAAAATAAAATAAAGTGTTAGCAACAAGCTCAATTCCAACACAGCTTTAAGAAAAATCTCAAAGTAATCAGGACTCAGAATTTCTGCCAATTTTTTTCTATGAGATTTTATGAAAATGTTGAGCTTTTTAGGAACAAACTATCACTTTGCTTTGAATCCCTCTTTCCTGCCTTTTTTGATTGTATGACTATTTAAGTAGAAGACAGTATATGCTCAAACCTGCTTCATTACATTCTATTTAAGAAAAAAGCAACAATCGTCACAAGAGATAGTTTTTCTAACCAAATCTATGCGGTGGACATAATTAAAAACAAAGATTAAGTGTCAAAGAGTATTTATAATGCAGTTAATTTAGGATAATTAGTACTAAGGGCATAATAATAGTAGCTACCAGTTAATAGGAAGCCACGATACGCCTGCACAGCATATTTCTTTTCCTAAAACCATTCTGGGACCTACTTTGAAAAAGTCTCAACTATGCTAAGTAACTAAAAAACCCACCCTTATCATTCCAGTGGTCTTAGCTTCAGCACATGAAGACAAGGGAGTATTAAGCTTTGATGCAATAGATATTGAATATAAATCATTGGCATGGATAATTATCCATTTAAAAATTATTGAGCTAATTCTGTAATAGCCTCAGAACATATGTGCTGCACTTAACCAGTGGTGAAGGTAGTCATTCTCCTAATATTGTTGGAAGACCACAGACATCAGAAAGAGCTGAAGTCTTCATTAAAAATAAAAATCTTGATACAGTAGATTTAGGATTGGGGCCTGCCATCATTAATCTGTCACTTTGTCATACTGTGGCAGTTTGTATATTGTGTTGCTGTGATGCCTGTGTTTGGCAGGTTTCAGTGGAGATTCCAGACTAAGACAAACTTGGAAGAAGAACCTGGCGATCTACTTCTGAAGAAATGTGCCAGTAAAAAGCTTAAGGACAACAGCAGAGCAATGTCTGATAGCGTGCCAGAGGATGAGCCCCTCAGGTTGGAAGGTACTTCACAGTGGCTGCAGCAATGAGCTCAAGCCTAGCAACAGTTGTGGAGATGACAAATGACTGGGTAGTATTGAGTTCTATTGTGCACAGCATTGCTACTAGTAGTCTGAACTGACTCTAAGGCACCTAACAACAACAGTATTGGACATTGGAATATACGTACTTAAGAAGCATTGTGGGTACTTCTTACATCCAATAACTTTTAAAAACCAGTGACTTAAGGAAATGGCATCTTTGTCTGAAGATAGAGAGTTCCCTGTTCTGAATGAAGAGTGTCCTTTATCTCCTGATCTCCCTATTCCTCTGGGAGTTTCCTTCATTTTTGTATTAAATGAAATGTCCCTTTCTTGCTTTCTAGCTACAACATCTCTATCTTCCCTTCTTTACCAACTAAACAAATAAAATTCTTACCACACTGTCTGTCTTTCAAAACTGTACCCCCATTTGTTTTCTGCTTCCCTTTAAAAAGCAATGAGCCTGCTGTTTCCACATTTTCATATTTTTAGTGGTATCACCTGACTTTGGTTCTCCTTCATGTGAGCTCAGTCTCTCATTATTAAAATCATGTCTCCTCTAAAACCCATTCTAACTAGGCTATTTATGCCAATTCCACAAATGATGAATTCTTTCTAAGTATTCATTTCCATCTTACTTGCAGTTCTAATCACTTCAGTCTTTTAAGATTCACTTCAAATGCCGTTCTGTTTACATATCCTTTCCTGCTCACAAAGTACAGGCCCCTGGATTAATTCTGTCCTCCATCAGAAACTCTTCATATTCGATTGATTTCATCCCTATGATATTGACCATACTTCCTCTAGTATTCTGGCCCATTACATCTTGTTTTTCTATCTGCTACACATTGAGGTCTCTTAAGTACAGGATGTATTTCTTCATCCTTAAACCCCTTATATTCTTGAGTGAGCACAAGGTCTAGTTTTAGTTTTAAACTGTATCTCAAGCTTAAAGAGAAACACTTTACTTAGCCATTATTTATAGTGTATCCATAATTCAGAACACTTACGTCCTCATTTTTCTTGATAATACATGCTATATTGTCTAAAATTATAGGATATGATCTACGGATATCTCTTTAAAAGTCTAACCTGTAATGTTATCTTCAGTTATACAATGGTATGTGCGTTATTTTCTTGTCGAAGTTTCTTTCTTTCTTCTGCTTCTCCTTCATATTCACTAAAGTAGCGCTTTCGAATCCTTTAACGAAAAAGATAGTACTTAGTTAAAAGACATTACCATATTTTAAGGCAATATTTATATTTACTTAATATTTCCAGAGGATTAAGATCTAAATTAGAGTCTTCATGTGACAACGTAGCATAAGCACTCAATCATAAGGTCAGTTTGGACCACAAGGTTGGTGGCTCAAACTCACACACTGCTCCTTGGAAACCCTATTTAGGGTCACTATAAGTCAGAAAATTACTCAATGGCACTTCATAGCAACAAAGATCTAAATGGAGTCCTGGTGTGATGCTGTAGGATAAGCACTAGACTGCTAACTGAAAGTTCACTCCTAAGAGTGAGTTGGAACCAACTCCATGGAACTTAACAAAATTTAAATACATATGTATTGAAACGCAAACTTTCAAGAGGCATGGAACACATTAAAATTTGTGTTTTGTTTCTCTGTAGAAATTAACACAGTTATCATACAATAGTTGGAAGAAGAAGTAAATGGTATAGTTAGTTACATCATAGGAAGAATTTAAATTTGGACAACTTATTTAGATTTTTTTTAAAACAGGTTTATATAATAAGTTGGGTTTTATTTATTTTAAAATATAGTAAATTTTCTCTTCTAGTTTTGGTAAGCTCTGGTAGCATAGTGGTTATGAATTGGGCTGCTAATCTTATGGTCAGCAGTTCAAAACTACCAGCAGTTTCACGGGGGGAAAATGAGGGTTTCTGTTTCTGTAAAGATTTACAGCCTCAGAAACTCTATACACGGTTGCTATGAGTTGGAATAAACTCCATGGCACATAAACACCACCACCACTAGTTTTACTAATTGTCACTTTCTATTAAAAAGCACAGCAGTTTAAAACTTTCTGGGTGTTTTCCAAGTAATTCATCCAGCTGCTAAATATAATTTCAATAACTAATGCTTTTTCTTTTGTTGTGGTGTTTGGGGAAAAAAGCTCACCTCAATTATGACAAAACCAGCAATTGTGGGTTCAGTTTAGCATCTGTTAATGTATTTCAAATACAAAAAGAAAATAATTTCTTAAATGTCACATAACGAATTTTTCCATGCTTTTCCAAAGTAGTATTAAAAATTTCAACTTGAATAATTACTACTTTAAATACTAAGTATTGCAAAACATTTTCCCTAACTGGCTTCCCCACCCTCACCCCTTCATGGTTTGTCTGAGATATCTTTCCTCAAAGTATTAATTTATATAGTGTGAGGCATTAAACAACCAGAGTAAATTCTAGCGTGTACAAAACAAATGTATACCAAGTAGCAATCTTTATGTACTACTTATGAGCAGTTATTTTTATATGTGTCATTTATCATTGTCTGATCTGTACATGAAATAATAGTAAACAATGGTAGATGATAACCCCGTTTCCTGAATAGCCGGAGTAGTAGATCATGTACACAATCCAGTTGTTGAAGTAATTTACCAAGATCTAAAATTAGAATAATGAGTCCATAGCTTTTCCCAAGCTCTAGTAGCACATGAGTCATCAGGGAGCCATTTGCACCCGCCCCCAGCTCCCCTTATTCACTGACTTTTGTTTAACAGACAATGCCATTTTGACCTGCCCATCAGTCCTGGAAGAGTCTGGTTCTAGTATTCATTGGTTATGAAGTGGAGAATGTGATCTGTTATTGTGAGCATAGAGAAGACAATGCTATAGTGGAACAGTAATAGAATTGTTCCTGCTTCCTATACCATTTCATGTGGAGGAAATGTTTGTTTTTTTAATAATTAAGTTCCCATATTATTGCACTTGATAATAATAAATAGGTATAATCTTTAAGCAAACCAGCAACATGTTATGAAATTCCTAATCCAGTGTCTTGCATTCTAATATGAACAGGAGACACACTTCTCCTGGCTGTTGGTTTGAAGTCCTCTGTGATTTTTAGTACCAAAGCAGTTATCGCTGACAGTCTATCATGAACCAGGTCTTAATTTGCTCTTGTCACTAAGATGCTTGTTTAAGATATTCACAGAAGTTGCCAATACTTTCTGAGATTCAGAAACAGCCATGAGTAAAACTATGAAATTTCAAAACATTGACTTTAAGTTCAAAGCAATTCAATACCTTCTGAAAAAGGACTTTAAAAAATAATAAAGTACAATGGTGGCCACCATATTATTATAAATGTCCACTGTATTTTGTGATCTGTCAATGAAGCGTTAATACAAGAGGGCTTCAAAAAGTTTATGGAAAAATGTAATGAAAAGATAATGAAATTTTTCCATGTACTATTTGAAGTCCCTTCATATATAACAATGGTGAGGATAGCATGGGACACAGCAGCGTGGAACCAATAGTGTTTTCTTCTACTGTACATTGGGTTGCTATGAGTCAGAACCAACTCAATGGTTCCTAACAACAACAACAATACATATAAACCAAAGACCATGCGCCACCAACAGAATAATTCATTTAAAACATGATAGCAGAATGTGATCGAAATAATTTAAAAAATAATAATAATAACCTAGCATTTTCTTATTGTTGTTGTTAAATGTCATTGAGTTGGTTCTGACTGATAGCAGATTTGACCAAGGACCTTGAAGTTAGCAGTCTAGTGCTTATTCTACAGTACCACACCAGGGATCCATTCTCTTACTAGGGTTTTAAAAATATGTCTATACTTACTGAATTGTGATAACAACAACAACAGCTGCGAGGCTCACGGCAGAAACAAAAGCAACTACAGCTGCTAAAGCGATTTTTGATAAATCACTGTCAATAACCCTCTGAGTCTTCATAGATTTTTCCCCACATCGTTCACCGAAGTAATCCTGATGGCATCTGCAAGCAATCCACAATTAAAAATTACAATCACTAAAAACATTCCATTTATTTTACACTTACTTTCCAGGTTATCCACCACCATTTAAGTCTAATATTATTTTTTAAAAAGTCATGCCCAATGTCTGTATTACGGAATCATGAGACACAGAATGCATTCTAATCAACAATCTGTTAGTGTAAGAACAAGTTCAGATTAGTTTGGGTGTGATATTCCAGGAAGACACACGTTGTCATTCTCTGTGCTCTTTTTTATGACTATCTGATGAGTTCAGTAACTTGTTAGCACTTAAAAATTCCACTAGCATTTAGTGCACTAATAGTAGTGAGAGTTGTGTTTTTTTTTTCTTCTTGGGAAAGAGAAAAGAAACCTTCACACATAGTTTACCAGGGGTCAGCAAACTATAGGCTACTTGTCAAATCTGGCCATATGCCAATTTTTGTTTAATGGCATTTAACAATAACAGCAACAAAGTTAAGAATGGAGTTTGGTGATTCCAGAGTATTAGCACTGGACTACGAATCACAACGTCAGAGGTTCAAGCCCACCAATCACTCCATGGGAAACAGATTAGGCTTTCTATTCCTGCAAAAGTTTTAAAGCTTTGGAAACCCTACACAGGGTCAATATGAGTGGAAACCGACTCCACAGCATTTAACAACAAATAACAACAACACTCAGAATGTGTTTTACATTTTAAATAATTACATTTCATTTGTCCATTTGTTGTTGTTGTTAAGTGCTATTGAGTTGGTACTGACTCATAGCGACCCTGTATAGGGTTTCTAAGTAGTGGCTGGTGAGCTTGAACTGCCAATCTTGCTGTTCAAAGTCATCTTGCAGTCTAGCGCATTAAGTCACATTGCCACACCAGGACTCCTCATTGTCTTTAAAGGTAGGTAAATAGTCTTGACCCATGAAGCTTAAAATATTTACTATCTGGTCCTATAAGGAAAAGTTTGCTGACTCTTGTATATATATTGGAAATATAGTTCTCTGATGCTCAGAATTGCAGACATAGTGCCAGAAATGTAAAGTTTTTGCATAATTTAGAGAAACTCACTTGCAAGTTACTACTGTCAGATGCTCTATGTATTTGCATTCTCCGTGAATGCAGAAATTTTGGAATTCTGCATCGCATGGTGTTTTCTTCTTCCGGTTTCTTCTGTTTTTTCCATTTTTGCCACCTTTTCTCTTTCTTTTCGGTTTGTTTGAAGTCTTTTCACTTTCTGTTTTGTTTTGGGGAGGTTTAACTACCTGTTCAACTGAAAACAAAGAAACAGAAATTCATGGCAACAGTCTTCATTTCAAATGTCATGTTGAAAACAGGAGAGAAAAAAGTCAACACAGTGAGAGCTCATGACAATAATGGCCACGTTTGGGCACATGATTTTACAAGCTACAAATACAAGAAATGTGGCATTTAAAAATCTGAACCCTTTTTATATTCTCTGAGCACAGACGTATATTTTTTAATAGATTTCTACCGTTATAACTATTATATTTGCTGTTGTTGTCATGGATAACAGGAGATAGTATCTAAGAAAATCCCTGAATATTTTTTAAATATCTAGAATTGTAATACATACTAAGTTCTTGGTAATGAGTGTTAATGTGATGAGCCCAAATCAGTTTTATGTACTACTATCCATATGATATACAGTCCTGGTGTGGCACTGTGAGCTAATGCACTGGACTACAAGGTTGGTTTGAACTGCAAGGTCGGTGGTTCAAACTCACCAGCTGCTCCTCAGAAACCCTATACAGGGTCACTATGGGATGGAACTGACTCAACGGCACTTAAAAGCAACAACAACCACATGATATAGAGTCCTGGTGTGGCACTATGATTAGTGCTGGATTGCAAGGTAGTATAGTGGTTATGAATCGGGCTGTGAACTACAAGGTCAGCAGTTCAAAACTACAGGCTGTTCCGTGGGAGAAAGACGAGGCTTTCTGCTCCCCTAAAGATTTACAACTTCGGAAACCCTGTACAGGGTCACTATGAGTCGGTTCCGACTCCACGGCACATAACCACCACCACCACTAGTTACTCAAAGCAGAACTGGAGAACCAGGAATTACAAATTAAATTGAGTCAATTTTCTCTAACTCCCAGATTACAACAGTTTATAATTATAACTGAGCATTATAAGTATACTTTATAATTACAAGTAATACATCCCAGGTTGTTGATTTCTGTAGCCAGTCTATTTGAAAATAGAAATCTAGAAATAAATTATTCAATGTTTCAGAAACTCTGAAACCTTTAGCCTGTATTATAGTCATATAAGGTGTAGTTTAGCCACATATGGAAAGGGAAGGAGTTTCCATGTTTGTTACACTAATCTCTAAATATGCTTATTGGAGAAAATATCTAGCAAACAGTCCAGTGAAGAGAGAAAATTTCAATCGTTAACAGTCTCATCAGTCATAAGTGTCATACAGCACCCATTAACTAGAAAGCCTTAGAAGCATAATGAAGACTAATATGGAAATCAAAGATTGAACCCATCTAACGAAGAAAATAAGGAGCTCTGGTAGCATAGTGGTTACGAATCGGGCTGCGAGTCGCAAGGTCAGCAGTTCAAAACTACCAGCGGTTCCGCGGGAGAAAGATAAGGCTTTCTGCTCCCGTAAAGATTTACAGTCTCAGAAACCCTGTGTAGGAGTCGGAACCGACTCCACGGCACATAACAACAACAACAACGAAGAAAATAATAAATAGTATGAATACTTAGTTGTTGTTGGTAGGTGCTGTCAAGTCAGTTTCAACCTATAGTAACCCTATGCACAACAGAATAAAGAAACACTGCCAGTCCTGTGCCGTCCTCATAATTGTTGTTACATGATCACGTGAGCGCTAAAGTGCCGCCGTACACATTAACTCCATGGACATCAATCTAACAATGTTTCCAAGGATTGCAATGAACATTTTCACTCCATTTTACAAGGCATTGCAATACACTAACAATTATTTGGCATATTTTAAGAGTTAACAACTTGAAACATTTTTAAGGGTATGGTTCTAGAAACCTTGGTGTTCTATATGAATTATCAATGGGACTCTTCCCCTCCTCACAGAATAGCACAAGATCACATGGAAGAAGGAAGTGAAGTAGAGGATTCATCAAAGCTTTCCCACCTGACATTTATCTCAGTCACTGGCTCTATGGTACCCACCTGCTCTCCCTGAAATCTAGACATAGGGAGAAGGTCAAGGAGGCCAGGGTCAGGAAAGAAGAAGCCATAAAGAGCTTTTAAGTCATAATTTTTCTGCCTTTATAGTGGGTGTTCCTAGTATATTTAGATATGATTTATTGATGACTTTCTGTGCCCTCAAACTCTAAAGCAGTATAAGAGTAATGGACAATATGGGTCTTTTATTTAAATACCCTCATTTTTTAAGCAAATCCTCTTTAAAAGATCTGTTAACAACAAAAGAGAAACTAACAAATAGCATTTGAAGTTAAATGGTGGTTTTAGCAACATAAAACATATGCACATTTGTTCTTTTCTAATAGGTCTAGAAGGTTAAGTTTATCATCATCATCATCATCACCAGTTTCTCAATACCTAGTACTCAATGGCTAGCATCCAATTTCTCCTGCCTCTTTACTTTATTTTGTTTCTTTGTTTGTGTTAAAAAGCAGTTATTTGATGATAGAGGAAATAGATACAGAAACTAGCACACGAAGTAAATAGGAGTAAGTAGTCCATGCCAACATTGCTCAAAATTGAGTAGGTCGATACCAATATTGTTCATAATCGGGATCATGTGGCAGAATAGGAAAAAGCATGGTATCTGGAATCAGTGTATAGTTTTAATTCCAGTTTAACTGCTGGCTAGCTATGAGGCCTTGGGCAAAATGCAATAATTTTTTAAGCTTCAGTGTTCTTACCAAGGAGCACTGGTAGTGTAGTGGTTACAAATCAGGATGCGAACCTTAAGGTCAGAAGTTTGAAACTACCAGCCACTCCACAGGAGAAAGATGAGGCTTTCTGCTCCCATAAAGATTTACAGTCTCGGAAACCCTGTGCAGGGTCGCTATGGGTCGGAACGGACTCAACGGTACTTAACAACAGTGTTCTTACCTTTCAAATAAGGACAATACCTACTTTACAAAGTTGTTATGAAGGTTAGACTTATTTGACATAAAACAATTGGGAAAACTAGAGGATGTGTCCACATAGAGTTCTTTCCATTTCAGTATGTAGCTTACCCAATGGAAATGTAATAGATGTACACACAAGAAAGTCACTATAAAATCTATAGAGGCTTTTCTTTTGAAGTAGTTTTGCTCATACAAACTCCAACCTCATTGGTTACATTTTGACTTTATCCTTTACTCACCTCTGATTGAATCATCCACAATATAGCCGGATATCTGTGGTTCATTATCATACTCTTCTGAATACTCATAGTCAGTCCCTGAGGACAGTTCACCCCCAGAAGGCATTTCACTCACTGGGGAAATCTCACTTCCTGATGATAGCTCACTTGTTGAGGTCACTGTCACCTCCAACTCATCTGTACTGTGGTCCCCAGAAAATGGGTCCTCTTTCCCAAAGTCGGTGTCTTTGAGGTCTGATCCAGTAGCATAATGCCCTGAGGGAGAAGGAATGGAGGAGGAAAAGAGAAGGTAAAGCAAGGCTCCTTTCTTTCCAGTCAAGTGTATTTAGAAGAACTGTTTATCTTCTGATATCAAAGCACTTATTGCACATGTCCTATTGTTTGTGATTGAGTCACTTATGTAAGCAACTTTACATTTCGCCAACAAGCAAAGTCAGCTATTCCAACTACAAAGTGTCTTTTATCAAGGCTGTCTTTTCCACAGTCTACATCAATTTCCATACTTAAAAGAAGTACTGTCAACGAAGCAAATCCATCAAATGCAGTTACTTAGCAGAGAATGGCTAAAAATTCCTGTCTCTTCACATACCCAGTGCATTAGTCTTTGCTGGAATAATACTCTGACCCATTTCATTAATTTTTTTTTTAAAAAAAAAACTTTTTCTTGGGAATCAAGTAAATAGTTACAGAAGAATCATCCGTGTTACATTCAACAAATCATATAGACTTCATTTCATTTCAATGATTGCGATCTTCTCAATGTAACTTCACTTTTCCCACTTCCTCCCTGTTGTTTCCATTCAGAATTTCGTCCGTAAATCAATGTTGCCCTTTTGATTTCAAAGGATTGACCGTTCCATGGTGTGTACATATACTTCACTAGTGTTGCAGCTCCCGCTATATACCTTTCTACTGCCTGCTGAAAATTGAGTCATGAGGGTAAGTTCAATTCTAAGCCTGAAGAGTGAATGCGGACCTTAGCATTTGGTTCCTCCAGTCTACCTCATTTTAAAACAGAGGTTCTGTATTTAAATTATTAGATTTACTTAACACAGCCACATATGTCAAAAAAAAAGAGAGTATGTATATGAAATGGGAAGTATTGGAGTGGCATTGTAGGATAAGCACTAGATGAAAAGGTTGGTTTGAACTGCAAAGTCAGTGGTTCAAATACAAGTCCCTCAGAAGCCCTATACGGGCTTGTTATGAGTTGGAACCAACTTGACAGCACTTAGAAACAACATATGAAATGCAAAAGTAATATAAATAGTAGTTGATATAAGGCTTATTATTGTTTTATTACTGTTGTCATAACATAAAAAAGAAACTGGGTATTCGTTCACATTTGGGGCCTAGATAAAGACCCTCCTTTCTCTTTTAGCTCTCAGTGAATCAGCATCAAGAGTGGAGTTTTCAACCTCTCTCTGGGACACTGTGAGACCTTCCTACAGAAGGTGAAACTAGTCACTGAAGAGGAGATGGAGACTATAAGGCAAGAGGCAGCACTAGGGGGTCAGCACCTCACTTCTCCACTCACCTCTCTACACCTCCGTTTCTCTTATCTGTATCTCAAAGGTCTCCCTCAGCTGAACTAACGTAAAAAGAATTTTCTCAGTAACCCTCGACCGACCTGGCCAGGAATGTCTAACACATTTCTTTTCCTTCTAGGGGCGAGGTGCAGAGATCGCCTTCCCTGGAATAGAATCGGGGGCGCTAGAGGGTGCTCTTGGTGAAGCAACAAAAGTCAGAGATAACAGCTTTTGCTTGCCCTGCGAAAAGCACCAGGCAGTTCAAAGGCAGGATGTCCTCACCTGAGCCAAGGATCAACAGCGAAAGCACCACGGGCGCCGGCAGCTGCAGCGGACTTCTCATTGGTCCCTCCGGGTGGCGGCGTCTCGGTCTCTGGGGCAACTCCGACCCGAGCGGAGAGAAGGAAGAGGAACAGGAGAAAGAGGGAGAGGGGACTGGGAGTATGAGATGTGCTGGAAGGTCCAGCAGAGCTCTGGGCAATGGATGTGCGCCTACACCTTGCCTAGGGATCTCTCGGTGGCGACTAGGGTGCAGGCACCAAGGTGTGCGAACATTCCATAGGCGCGGCCCGCACCTGTGGCTTTATAGCAAGCAGCCTCCGGCTGAGCCAGGGCGGGGAGGGAGGCTGGGTCTAAACGTCACGGCTCGGTCCGTGGGTGGGGGCAGTAGGCAGCCACAGAAGAGGTTACTACCTCAAAACCACACACAGATGGCAAGAGCCCCATTTCCGTTCCTCCAGTGTGGGGAGCCACTGGGAGGAAATGAAACTTTTAACCTGTTGCTTCACACATACTCGATCCATATTCTAGGGCAGGAGTGGAATAAAAAGTCCCCAAAGTTTCAAATTTCATCTGAGAACTCAGGAATTAATAAGAAAAAGGGACAATAAAACAGGGATTAATAAGAAAAAGTTCCATATTAAGATGTAAAATACTTTAAGAGCAGTAGTTTCACAAGAAAGGTCTGGATGCTAAACACAAAAATCAGTAAACATTAATGATTAGAGGGAGAATCTCCAATTGAAAAGTGGCTTCCCTTATGATGAATGAATAGCGTGTCCTTTCCCACCCACTAGTCTTAAGCAGTCAGAAGTTCAAATCCCCTTCCTCTCATTTCTTTGTGTGGCACAAGACACTCATTAAAGATAAATGAATATTGACCATTTACTATTGCTGAAGTAGGCGCTAAAAATTTTAACTTACATCCACTCACTCAACAGTTTTGGTAAAGTGGAATCACTGTCCACATTTTCCAGTGTCCTGGTGGCTCAGGGGTTAAAAGTGCTCTGCTATTAATCCAAAGGGTGGCAGTTGGAAACTACCAGCTGCTCAGTGGGAAGAAGATGTGGCAGTCAGCCTGCTTCCTCAAAAGTCTGCAGCCTTGGAAATCCTCTGGGACGTAGGTATCCACTCATGTCAGTAGGTTTGGGATGGTGGGTCCTCATTTTGCAAGAGAAATGGCAGCTTTAAAAAATCAAAAGACTTTTACATAGCTGGTAATAACAAAACAGGTAGACTTGGATTCAATTTCGCCTGATACTAGAACTTGCATTCTCAGAACTCTGATAAAGGAATTCAGGACTAAACTGGCATTTGAAAAGAGGGTCTCTGGGGAGATTAATACTTAATCTAAAGAAGGGGTTCCTTAATGGTAGTATATTAGCTTTTGGGTGGTATCCTAAATGACTGGGTAGTTTATCAAATTTCAAGACAAACAGACCAGGATTTAAAACCACATCCTGGTATGGCACTGTAGTATAAACACTGGACCACAAGGTCACTTTGAACTATAAACCAAGCGGGTTTAATCCTTGGAAACCCTATACAGGGTCAAAACTGATTCAATAGCACTAAATAACAAACAACAGTGAATCCTGGTGTGACACTGGAATGCTAGCCAAAAAGTTGGCAATTCTAACCCACCAGTTGCTTCTCAAAAACCCTATACAGTATCACTATGAGTCAGACAATATGTAACAACAACAACACAAAAGGTGTGGCAATGTAGGATAATCACTAGACTGCTAATCATAAGGCTGACAGTTTAAACCCACCAACCAATTTTGGAAACTTTATGTACAGTCACTATGAGTCGAAACTAACTCGATGGCACGCAACAACAAAGGATATTTAATTATAACAAGTAGATAAAATGACGATGGGGAAGAAGATACCTGCTTAATTTGACTAACTTTGACATAATGACAATTTTAGAATAGTATTATTCTTGAATTGTTGTTGTGTTGCCACCGAGTCCGTACCGACTCATAGCGACCCTATGTACAAACAACAGAATGTAACACTGCCCGGTCCTGGGCCAACCTCACAATTGTTGCCACGCTTGAGCCCATTGATGCTGCCACTTTGCCAATCCATCTTGCGGGGGGACTTCCTCTTTTTCTCTAACCCTCCACCTTACAAAACATGACATCCTTATTCCAGTGACTGGTTCCTCCTGACAATATGTCCAAAGTATGAGAAACGAAGTTTGGCCATCCTGGCTTCCAAGGAGCACTCTGGCTGTACTTCTTCCAACACATATCCATTGGTTTTTTGGCAGCCCATGGCACTTTCAGTATTCTCCTCCAGCACAATAACTCAAAAGCATCAATTCTTCTATGGTTTTCTTATTCAGCTTTGGCATGCATATGAGGATATTGAAAATACATAGCTTGGATCAGGCATAACTTAGTCCTTGAGCTGACATCTTTTCTCTTCAACATTTTAAAAACGTCTTGTGCAGCAGATTTGCCTAATGCAATACGTTGTATGATTTCTTGACTGCCGCTTCTGTGAGTGTTAATAGTTGATAAAATAAGAATGAAGTCCTTGACAACTTCAATCTTTTCTCCATTAATAAGAATGTTGTTTATTGGTCCAGTTGTGAGGATTTTTGTTTTTTTGACATTGAGACGCAATCCATACCAAAAGCCATACTCTTTGATCTCCATCAGTCAATGAAAGTAAAGTCCCCTTCACTTTCAGCAAGCAAGGTTGAATCATCTGCATATCGCAGGTTGTTAATGAGTCTTCCTCTAGTCCTGATGCCATGTTTTTCTTCATATAACCCAGGTTCTCAGACTATTTGCTCAGCATACAATTTTAATAAGTATGGTGAAAGAATACAACCCTGTTTCACAACTTTCTTAATTTTAAACCATTCAGTGTTGCCATGTTCTGTTCGAACAACTGCTTCTTGGTCCATGTACAGATTCCTCATGAGCACAATTAAGTGTTCAGAAATACTCATACTTCACAATGTTGTCCATAGCTTGTCATGATCCACACAATGGAAAGCTTTTGCATAGTCAACGAAGCACAGGTAAACATCTTTCTGGTATTCTCTGCTCTCAGCCAAGATCCAATGGACATCAGCAATGATACCCCTCTTTCCACATCCTCTTCTGAATCCAGCTTAAACCTCTGGAAGTTCTCTGTCAATGTTTGTTTGCAGCTGTTTCTGTATTACCTTTAGTAAAACATTACTCACATGGGATATCAAAGATATTGTCTGATAATTTCCACAGTCCATTGGGTCACCTCTCTTTGGAATGGGCACAATAGGCATTTAGTCCAATCAGTCGGCCAGATAGTTATCTTCCAAATTTCTTGGCAGAGATGAGTGAGTGCCTCCATTGCCACCTCACTTTCTTGAAAGATTTCCATTTTTATTCCATCAATTCCTGGTGCCTTGTTCTTTGCCAATTCCTTCAGTG